CCCCAAAACCCCAAAACCCCTTGCTTAAATATTTGCTCTGAACATTAAACATAAATTAAAATAAAGTTAAATTATCTATTGCACATGCTATTATAAAATTATCTTCTGAGAATTGCAATCATCATTTGTTTTTAATTACTTGGAAGTAGTAGAAAATGAAGAAAATAAGACACATTAGAGCAAATATGTCAGCACTTTCTCTATATCCATACCATGTCTTGAAATGAGTACTTAATATAGGGGCTAAAATCTCAGCCAATGCGAATGAATTTGTATATAATACAGTTATTACCTCTCCAATAGCCTCCTATTCATCAGGGTATTTTTCTAATGCCCCTTCTATAGCTTCAGGAAAGTAACAAGTGTAAGCTACTCCACATGAAAATCCAATACCTAGCATTCCAATAGCAATCGTCCAAATTTAACTAAACCATAATCAACTCAACAAATAATTAATTACTCAGGGAATCTCAATAGTATAGAAGGTCCCCATAGAAGCAAAGATATGTATTAAAAAATGAAACTCCAAAATATACTGTTTCTAGTGTCAAGATCCTTTTTAAAGAATACATAGGCATTCCCAAGTATATACCCACAAGCAATTATCGAAAAGAACAATACTAAAAATTGATTACAAGGAAGTGTCACTTACAGACTGTATTTTGAGATGCTTTGTAGACGTCTAAAAGCTAAGGGGCTAGGACAGGCTCTACTTGCACAAACACTAAATAAGAGATAAAATTCGCTAGAGTAGCCATATGTAATCTCTTAACTTTCAAGAGTTTCCATATAGTTTTTGTTGATACAGCTCGTGAGGCAAAAGTATCAAGGAAATAGGAGCGCTACTGGATTACCTTAGAGACCTAACTTAGATCTTTTTTGCGTCTTAACACTCTATTTTCTATGTCTTTTTCCTTGTTATCCTTTGGCCCTGGAATTTTCCACATTTATAATGGTATCAGAAATAACTGCAAGATGCCTGTAGCTATGAATGGCCCAACGAAGCCAAATAATTTGAAGAAGAGAGATCCTATAACAGGTCCAATCATATAGCCAACACCATTGCTCATCTCTTGAGTCACTGATACCTCCTTTGTATGTTCTGGATATTCCGAAAGCAATACTGCATATGCTAATGGAAAGATAAATCAGATAATAACTTACTAGCTGAGAGTATTCCTGAGCAAGCAATTCCTTGAAGAATTCTTGCAATCATTGAGAGTGAAATGAAAATGATATGATTGTCTGTATAGAAACATCCAATAAACAATAACTCTGCGAATAGCTAAATAATATGATAAGTATTGGAAATGATAGGAATATTGAACTATAAATTAGCATGAATTATTACAGTAATTGCTTAGCAGCAGATTATGATATTCCTTTTTGAAAAATTATCAAATACTTTGATAAGTAGCAATGAGGAGACTAGATTTGCTATTGGATAGGCGCTAAATATGTATCCCACAACAAGATGAGAGACACCTTTCTCAAGCGCAGTTTCTGGGTAGAATGGGGCAATCATTACATGAAAGATAAAAGTGACTATGCATGAGAGATTGCAGATGAACCAAAGTAAAGTATACTCCATTTTAACTGACACTTAATTTACTAATTTCTTTGATTTCATAATTCAACTGTAGTACTTTGGCCTTTGGGGTTTTGGGGTTTTGGGGTTTTGGGG